GCAGACACTCATTTCAGCCTGACTCCGTCATCAGGATTTTAACTGAACTGGTATGTCAATAAAAAGGTGAAAATAACTTAAAAAGTCAGTTAATATACATTCCCAGTCCACCGAACTGAACTTGGTTCCACCAGAGCAAATTAAATCCCAATGTATAAATGACAACACAATGAAAGTAAAGCGTATATGTTACAGAGGTGACTATAAGCTTGTATATAATAGCTAGAATACGTGATACTTACTGACCAGCAGCAGGTCTGGCATTCAGCCCTGATCTCACAGTTGCTGGTTCGGGTGTACTTAATGGTATTTGTTCACAGCATCTCCTCTCCCCAAAGGACTTCAATACAAATCACATGGTGGATCCAATACATATCAGCAGCCCCAGATTTATTTGGTTCTTGAGGCAAGTCTACAGCCAGATGCATTAGAAGCTGTGGAGAGAATACCCAGAGTGGGAAAACTGAGGTACAAAAGTTCCCTAGGATTCGAGAAAGTTCTGAAACCTTTTGAAACGTTACTCAGCCATGACTTTGCTGACTCCAATGGGATCTTGCCATACAAAGTGGTGCAAATGCCTGCAGTGGGTTTAATTCCTAAATGTGGCTCTTTATTTTAAATGTAAAAAATTAGAAATCATAAAACCCTGCTCAGAAAAGGTGCTGTGCTAACCCCTCTCTACAGTCACATGCTACTGACTCTCAGTGAAGCTGCACTCAGAAAAGCGCCCATTGCTGCCTGCTACCAAGCATCCTCACATTTCAAAGGAAAAGTTCTCAATCTAACAAAGGAAGGACTAATGCCTAAAACGGGGGGAGGTCTTGATTCTGTCAACTAGGAACAGTTGCTGAAATACAAGCTGCCCTGAGCTGCACAGTAAATACAGCCAGTGCAGGCCAGAGCCAGCTTCCTCTGCATGGGCCCAATCCTGTTCCCACTAAAGTCAGTGGCAGAACTCCAAGCTGTTTAATGGGAACTGCAACAAGCTTTCTATCTACTTAATATAAATGAAGATACGCATCTCCTCTTTGACATATTTTGGGCTCAAAGCCATTGGCTGACACTTGTTTGGTTCTCTGCATGTATGTGACTCATGGGATAATATAATGCCTGATTCCCATTCTGCCAGACCTGTCTTTCTCCATGGTTAACTATTAATTTCAGAGGCAAGATGCAATACTGAAGTAAAATAGGATGCTGTTAAACTAAGAAAATTGCACTCTAATATTCAGAGTAAATGAATTGGATCCCCTTTTGTGAGGATTCCCTTCCAATTAAAAAGCTATACTCACAGAGTCCTTAAGACACCAGCCCATTGCTCCTCCATAGAGATGGAGTTTGTGGAAGTCTCTAGCAAAGTACCTGGCAGGCAAGGTAACGTAAACATGCTGGCTTTACCCTGCCAGGATGGCTTGAGGAGAAACGTGATAATGGAAATGACATAAAACAGTCTGTGTTCCAAACAGTTGATTGTTTCAGACTACCAACACAGAACTGGGTAACTGGATATACAGGTGTTCAATAAAGAATAAGTATACACTGATTTTCCAGCAAAGCTGTATTCAGGATAAGGGAAAACTTTTCCTATTTGAGTGCACAGCCTAAGTTTGAGATACTAAGTAGTACCATTAAAACAAATAAACAAAGCCAAACAAAACAAAACCCGAAACACTAATAATATAATATGGGCTGAAAGGAATTATCGGAGCAGACTAATTCTTCTGAAGTTTCTTGTGATATGCTTATTATTACTAAGTGCTGTCTTGGCTTTAAAATGCAGTCACCTCAGAGGTAATACAACATTTTCAGATCAGTTTCATACCACCCTTTCAATCACATATCACATTTTCAATCAGTTTCATATCACACTGAAACATGGATATTTCCATGCAAGGTGTGTGTTTGTATGTGATTTCACTTTTAGAAACACAGATTTCATTACAGGGAAACAAAGAGATACCCAGAATCAGAGATGTCAATGCATAAAACATTATATTTTACTTAATCTGTTATACCAAGAGAGGGCAGTGGGCCTGCCTTTACCCAGTTAGACATCTGCCATTCTTTTTACCATTGACTTGGGTTTGACTCAATTCAATCAGAAAATTCCAACCAGTAAGCACAAAGCACTGTGAAGCACCTGCTTTCTTCTAAAAAGAAAAATATCTTCCACTGCTCCCTTTCAGTGTGGAAATTCATGTGAAGCACTCCATGTGAAGCTGATCCTCCAAACCCCTGCAGCAGGTGGATGAGGCACAAAAGCTCCTTAGAGGCAAATAGCCTGTTGCAGTGGAAAAAAGAAAATTAAATCACAGAGAAATCTTGACATTCCTCCACCACCCCCAACCTGCTGCAGGACTGTGCTACGGTTGTGAGCAATCCCTCAACTCTGTACACAGTGCTGGCAGACAACTACTCCCTTCCTCCCCAACATGTGATTACTCGCTTGGCCTCTCAGTCACTGCCCACCTGCATGTCTCACCCCTCTGTGTCCCCAGCCTCATGTCTGGGGCTGGTGAGGGGTGGAGAAGGAAAGACTGCAGAGGCACACTTGTGCGGCAGGGCAGGCAGTGGCTGGCAGCACCGCAGCACTGCTGCGTGTAAAAGGAACAGGCTCGGTGGGAAACTCAAAAAGCCACCCCGCAGTCGTGCAGACAAATGCTGCTGAGTGTACACACACCCACAGCACCCCGCCCAGCTCTGGAGCTGCTCAAGCCTTTGCCTAAGCCAGAACAGCCTTGGTGCAGCCTGTGTGCGGGTGGAGAGATGAGTGGCAATGCCACGTGCAAGGCCAGCCCCCGCCCACAGTGCTGCCGCACTTACCTGCTGCATCCATGGTATGCTGCAGCAGTGCAGACTGCCTGCCATCCACTTCTGCAGCAGTGTGGACTGGCAGCTGTTTTCACATGAACATGGTGGACAAGATGATTGATTCCCAGAGGTCCCTTCAAGTTCCATCTGTCCTGCAGTATTTGGAGTAGACAGTGCATCAAAATCCTTTCCATTTAATGCATGCCTGAAAAAGGCATAGCATGGGGTAGCACATGAGACTGGAGTGCTGCAGTACTGCTCACACTGACCCTGGTGTTAAAGCAAACATCCCTGAACATGCTGCAGTAAGAACTGAGCAATGGGACTTGTTGAAGGCTCAGCCATGTGCTGGGGTGAGGATTCAGACTGAGAGGAACAAACAGTGCAAAGCTGCAGCTGTGGAAGGGTGGGAGGTGGGTGCCAAATCAAAACACAGGCTGCAAAGAGCACAAAGAGGCTGCAAAGAGCACTGTGCTATCAGAACTGTTCTGTCTAGGCCTTGGCTGTGGGCCTTGACAAAGGCTCAGCCTACAGTTAGGGTTAGGATTAGAGAATGCTGCTCATTTTGGCATTGGGTTTAAGGCAAGTGTTTCTAAGCACTCTTCTGCTATCAATAATTTACCCTTTGTAGTATTCCGGGGCATGCTGTGTTTATACAACTATTGAAACACCTTTGTGGCAGATAGGTGATCTTAATTTTGAATCACAGAATCCTTGATTCTTCTGTCACCAAAGACCTGTTTAATCCACGTTCATTTAAATTAATGGAAAAATCTGCTTTGTCCAAGGCCATAAATGATTTGCTGAAACCACACATACACGGTGAGTCATAGTTCAGAACATAACTCAAAACGACCAGGACTGTATTCCCATGCTCTAACCACTAGATTACAGTCCCTCCCACATATACCCTGCAATAATCTTTGCTCAAATGATAACAGCATTTCCCCACTTTACACGTTGGACAGCATTACTCAGTAAGGCACATCATACCCAAAGGGAGTAGAGCTCTGCAGGGCCAGGGGAGGAAGGAAGCAGAAGTAAAAGTCATTATTTTTGCCCAATACCACTGGAACTTAACTATTCCTGTGGAAAACTGCCAGAAATTTACACCTAAATGAAAAATAAAGATTTTCATCCTGCTCCGCACGTATCTTTTGACACCCGGACCAGCGAGTGCTCGCAGACCATCATGGTGGACTGCGGAGGGGCAGCCTTACCTTTCCTGCGCTCGGCACACCGGCATGAGCCCTTCGTCCAGAGGAGGCAGAGCCCCTCGGCACCCTCAGAGCCTCCCCCCATCGATGCAGTGCCTGTGCGGCTGCCAGCGCAGCGCACGCCCGGCTGCACCCGAGGCGCTTCAGGAGTCCCTGTGAGGACACGGCCCCATGGCCCGGCATCACCGGGCGGCCGGCGGGGAAGGCCAGGGCTGCCCCTTCGGAGTGCTCACGCGCCATGGCGGCCGCGGGGCTGCGCTCAGCTCTCCCGGGAGCAGTAAGAACACAGCCGCGGCTGCAGCTGAGGGGCCCGAGCGGCTTGTCTTCACACACCTGGGGCGCAGCCGCACAGGTAGCGCCCGGACCCGCAGAGCGGAGGCCGAGAGGTGACCGCGGTGTCCCCCGTCACCTCAGGGACCCTCGCCCGCCGCCGGGCCCGCGCAGGACGGGGCCGGAACCCGCAGAGCCCCCGGGCCCCATACAGCCCCGGGCCGTGTCTCAGGGCCCGACCCGGCCGCGGCGAAACTCCCCAGGAGAGGGGACGGTCCGGGCCCCGTCTCGCCGGGAAGGGTCGGGCAGCGGCAGCGCTGCCGGGCGAGTGGAGCGGGGTCTCCCCGCGCCGTGCTCCGCGGCACTGCGTGACCCCCGCGGCCAGGACCCGGGCCGCCGGGAGCGTTTCCCCGGAGCCGCAGGATGGAGGAGCCCCCGGCCCAGCGAGGGGCGGTGTGAGGACGAGCGGAGGTGGATCTGTCCGGCTGTGCATCTGTCACCGCAAGCACCAGGGAAGCTGCCGTTCCCTTAAAGACAACCGTGTGTTTATTGCTGGGGAGGGGGGGGGGGGTGTCGAAGAGAGGGAGATGCGCTCCAAAAAAAGTCACTGCTGCTGGGCACGGAGAGGGGGTCTGGAGGAAGAGGAGGGCATCATGCTCCTGCTGCAGAGGAAGAACTGGAAACACACTGAGAGGCAGGTGGTTATGGTAGAATATATGTTGTTTATTTATGAACATAACCAGGACTTCTGACACACTTTATATGCAGCTCCCCCCCCCCCCCCCCAAATTAAAAAAAACCAACAAAACACCAATGTGTGTGCATATACATACATACCCATACACACACCACACACACCCCCCCAGCACTGCGCTTCTGCTGTCACACTTAGGAACAGCTTCACATCCCCATCGTGGTCTCTTCTCCCATCACAACTATTTCAACCGGACAAACTCCTGTGCAGCAATGACAGGAAGAATCATTCTGCATTGCTGCCAGCGCTCCCTCGAAAGGGGCCTGTTGGTTTGTTTGTCTTTCTCTCACTGGGAGAAACTCCAGAGTCCAAAGGTGCTGCAGCACCAGCGACAAGCCTCCTGGCCCCATTGTAGCCTCACGGCCTGCATCCCCCTAGGCACCCTGCCTTGGGGCCAGGAGGCAGCCGCCAGCCCAGGAAGGCGACACACACTCACACTCACCCTCCCACACAAATAATAAAATAACATTGCAGCACAAGGGCATAGTCTCTGTCACCAGATAAGAAAGTCGTGTGATGGCAAAGATCTAAGTAATGCAATAAAAATAAAGTGTAGCTAGTATACACAGAAAGGCTTTCACATTACATGAGGCACAGCTTGGACAGACAGAGACTCAGAAAGGAGCTAAATGTCATGGAATAAAGCAAAATACACTTAAAAGTCCATAGTAAATACCCGCATCAATAGGTATTTATTCTTTGTGCTTCGCCACGTCGTGACATACAGTACAAGACACTCCTGCTCTTCCTTTCGATGGCAGGAGCCCAGCAGGCTGCTGCTGCATCAGTCCCAGGCCATCCATCAGTCCTGCAGCGGTGGTGGCCCCTGTCCCACTCCCAGCCAAGGCAGGGGACAGGGCTCAGTTGAAGCAGCCCGGCCAGGCTGGGGCAGTCCTGACAGTGCTCCTGCAGCTGCCCCACACCTCAGTGCTCCAAACGGGCATCCAGCGCTGAAGGTCTCTCAGCCCTCTTCTCGCTGGCCTCCCCACAGCCACCCCTGCCTGCTGCACTGCAGGCTAGCTCAGGGCACCCCACAAGCATCCCCAGGTGCCCTGTTCCTCAAGCCTGCATGTCCCTCACCCTTTTAAATCGCACGCCACCAGGCCGGGGGGAATAGAAAGCCCCAAAGCTCCTGCAGCTAGCTTTTAAGGCACATCTGGATTCCTATGCGTGCTTTATTACTACTATTATGATTTACCCTGTAGACACGTGGGCTTCTTAATTCTTTCCTTCCCCTCCTCATTCTCCTTAGAAAACCCACCATGTTTTCAGCTTATTCATGTGTCATCCTTAAGGCACAAACCTTTTAATACTACAGCTGCCTGGCTTCTCGTATTAGCTGTTAATTGTTAAAAAAAAAGAAACCCAAACACCGAACAAAACAAACCCAAAACAAAATCAGCCCTCCCCCCCCCTCCCCCCAAGAAAATAATCTGAGATCGCTGCGCTCTGCTATGTATAGTATCTATAGGTGACTGAGGGCAGCGAGGGTCCCGGCGCTAGGCGCAGCTGCCCATGGCCTTCACCAACGAGCTCTCGGGCAGCTGCCTGAAGATGCCCCGCAGAGTCTCCAGCTCCCGGGTGAGCTGCTCCACCCGCTTGCGCAGCCGCTCGTTGTCGGTGGTGAGCTCCAGCACCTTCTGCTGCGTCTCCACGTTGCGCTGCTTGGCCTTGTCGCGGCTCTTGCGCACCGCGATGTTGTTGCGCTCCCGGCGCACCCGGTACTCGTTGCTGTTCTTGTCCACTGTCTTTTTCGATTTGCTCCGGTGGTCCGCGGGCATCATCTTGAGGGCGCCGGCGGCAGGCAGGCCGCCGGGGGGGTGCGGGTGGTGCGGGTGGTGCGGGCTCGGCACGGGCGTGGGGGGCGGCGTGGGGTGCCCGGGCTGGAGGTGCATGGTGGTCTGAGCGCAGTGAGCTATCTGGTACTGCAGGTGGGACGGGTGCTGCTGCGGAGCGTGGTGGGGGTACAGGGCCGACAGGGCCGACGACTTGACCTCCTCCTCCTCGCGGGGCTCCTGCTTAATCACCAGCGGCCGCAAGCCGGGCGCGGCGATGCGCTCGTACAGGGGGTCGAGCTTGCCGTCCATGTAGCCGGCCACGCAGCCGAAGAGAGGCTGCTGGTGGTGCTGCTGCTGGTGCCCCGGCGCCGAGGAGGCGGCGCCGGCCCCATGCATGCTGTGGAAGTCGAAATCCCCGGCCAGGATGGCCTTGGCTTTCTCCTGCTGCTTGCTGTGCTGGAAGAGGTCGGCAAGGAACTCGTCGTTGAAGGCGGCGGGGTCGATGTAGGCGCTGATGTCGATGGAGTTCTCGTTCTCGCAGATGTCTCCGAGCTCCGCTCCGCCCGCAGCAGGTGCCGCCGCCGAGGGAGCCTCTCTGTAGCTGTAGGCGCTGCCGGGCAGGGGAGTCTGGAGCTGGTGGTGCTGGCCGCTGCTCATCGGGGGCCGGGAATCGACCTCGTAGAAGTTGGCTTGCTCCATGAAGCACCTACAATCTGCTGGGCATGGTGAAGGGCTCCTGCAATCCAGGTTTCGGACGGGGCGGCGGCAGCGGCGGCAACGGCGGCGGTTCTACCAACCCCGCGGCACCCCAGCGGCGAAAGGCACCGCGCTGCACGGTGCGTTCGTGCGGCGAACGGCACCGCTCTTGCCCAGCCCGGCGCTGCTCGGTACGGCGTGCCTGGAGCCCGTTTCCCGCCCCAGCCCGCCAGAGCCTTGCTGGCTGGCCTGCCCGCCTGCCCTGTTGCTAGTGGGTTGTCGCGGTCCTGCGTGCCGTATATATACACGCCCGCAGCAGGACCAGGGATCGCCCTCTAGTGTCCTGCTGGGAACCTCCTGCTGGGAACCTTTGACCACCGCGCTGCCGGGTCTTAGCGCCGCGGTCGGGCAGAGCCGCCCTCTAAGGAGAGCGGAGAGAGCCGCCCGCACCCCCGCTCCCTCCCCCGCTCTCCGCCGCCCCGAGTTTGGCGGTCGCTGCGCGCTGGGCTCCGCCTGCCGAGGAGGCTCCGCGCTGATAAGAGGCCCCGGGAAGCGGCGCGGGGACTTTGCGCCCTCCCTGCCCGGGTCCTCTCGGCGGGGCAGAGGGGCCGACGCCGCCGGGTACATTTCCACCGCCCGCCCCAGCGGCTCCCCCCCGCGCCGCGGAGGAAGTCTCGAAGTTCACCATCACCCGGCGGTCTTGCAAATACTTGGCCAGGCGGGAATTCTCTCCCCGCCGTGCTCCCCTGCGGGACCCCAGGCACCGTTCACCGCCGGCCGGCACCGCCGGCCCGGCTTCACCGGCGGGACCAGCGGGACTCGCCCGGTGACGACCCCGGCGGCGCTAGGACTCGTCCGGGGATGGCGCCCAGCGGGCCGGGGCGGAGGCCTCGGGGGGCAGCGGGGGCTCCCCAGCGCCGCTCCGCCCGGGGGAATCGTCCTCTCTGCGCCCGTTGTCGGGCCGCCGAGCCCGCAGGAGCTGCCATCCCCGGCCACCTGCAGGCCAGCGGCACCCGTGCCTCCGGCAGCCCCGTGTCTCTGGCCGCACGCAGGAGGGGTCGGGTGAAGGCGCGGAGCTCCCGCTCCTCCCGCCGCACGAACCCCGCAGGTAACCCTAACTACAGCTGTCCCCAAAGGCACGGGCAGCCGAGTCCCGTGGTGCGCTGCGCCCACCGACCCCCGCCAGCGTTTACCCGGGATAAAGCTGGCCCGGCAGCTGCGACTCCCCCAGCGCGGCAGCAGCCGCCACCGAGATGCGGTTCACCTTCTCAGGCTCCTTTTCCTGGCGGCTTCGGAGGAGGCGATCGGTTCACTCCTCTCCCGGGGCACCCCGGTGTAAAGCCGCGGCCTTGCTTGGAGCCCCCGTGTCAGCTTCAGCTCGGAGGGGTGAGGATGCGCCTGATGTCCCCCCGCTGTGGTCCCTCGCAGTGTGCAGAGCAGATGTAGCTGTCCCCCCTCACGCATCCCCTCCGCGGGCATTCAGCTCTGCTACTCCAGAAGGTCCCTTTGAAAAGGGTGTAGAAAAAGGACAAGTCGAGGCCGTTGGAGCAGGTGCAGGTATTAGATTGCTACAGGAAGATTTGCAGAGAAAGCGATTCAAACATAGTGGTGGCTGGAGAAAAAGATAATGAAAATTGCTGCAATTCTCATTTATAGATGGTGTAGTAAAACAGAATCTTGGAACAGTAAATTCCTTGCTCAGAAAAGGTTTGACAGATTCCTTGCAATTAAAAATAATTGACAAACTCTAAAATAGGAAACAAAATTACAACATACCAGGAGCCCCGTTTTTGTATCACACAATGCACACAGGAACCTGTTTCATGAGCAAAAGCGAGACCGGGGGGGGGGGTCAGTTGGCTTTTGCACTCTTAGTGTTCTCTCAGGAGACTGGATTCTGTGATTACAGCAGGAAAAAATTGACAGGGTACAGAATATACTTTTCACCTTTTGATACCAACAGAAAAATAAAAATCAATCCTAAATTCTTTCTATACACAGTATCTACAAAAAAAAATGTGTGTTGGCTTCACTGCAGCAACAGTGCTGCACAAGGTGCCATCCCAGGAGCTGCAGCACTGTCTGGGCAACCCAAACACTAGGAAGAAGAACTCTGAACAAAGTCATGATATGGAGGAAAAAGCCTCAAGTCTGTGACAGGAGTGAGTTCGGGGTGTTTCAGCGTGGAGAGTAAAGTGTCACTGACTACACCTGACTGTCCAAATTCTGATTGCTCTACTCAAGTGAACCCAGAAAAGGGGCAAACCCGGAGCTGGACTTTTTGCCTACTGGGAGGAATATCACCTGGAGTAGGAGCTGGTAAGCAGTTTATACTGGGAGCTTTCAAAAGGCCTTATCCAGCTCTCAAGTCAGCAGAACCAGGAACAGACTGTGGACATTTAAAATAAAAGGTCAGTGCTCCCTGAAGCAGCAGAAGCATATAACTAAGTTTGTCATTTAATAACGATACCTACGCCTCTGTAGTCTTAAAATGCTCTCCCATTTTACAATCATTCTGAAATTAAGGCCTAACCACATATTAAAAGAAATTCAAAGTAAATCAGAAAGTTTAGGATCAGATTCCATTCCTAATTACTGTAATTAAAGAACAAGTCCCCACAATTTAAGGACTGGTTTGCTTGGTATCTTTTTCTTTTTACATAGACCCCTTTAATCTAAGTTAAGAACTTTTAAATAATCTCTTTTTACATGAAAACATAAATTCCTGTTCAAATTGTGTAAAATGAGGCTCCCAGACTTGGACAAATAAGACAATTCTTCATCTTTTTATTGTCCCTCCTTCTTTAAAGGCAAGTAAAATGTTTAGAACCTGATCATACCCCAGACAAGCTCAAATGAATATTTCACATTCAGTAACTGGTCCCAAATATTTCAACTTTTATGAAAAGAGAAAACTTCTGTTCTAATTGCTTCAGTTCCTTGTGTCAGGGAGTTAATATAACTAAAAGAGGAAGGATGTGTGTTGCATACTATGGATCCCTGAAGCAACAATGTCAACTCTTGAGGGTGCTATTCTTCCATCTCAAAGCAGATCTCGCTGCCTGGGTGCTAGGGAAGGGCAAAAGAAGTGCTCCACAATTCAAAACAGCACCAGAAGTCATTTATACAAAGTCGGCAGCCGTGGTTTCTGATAGTAGGGAAGGAAACTGAACAGAAAAACATAATAATGGAGGAATGTGAATATCCGTCTGCTTTATGTAAGTGAATTTTGTGACTGCTGAGAGTTTTTAATTGCACCGAAGTCTCTTCATTTCAGCTGAACTTGGCTCCTGTGCTGTTCTCAGGCTTCTGACTCCCCTGGGCTGCAAAACAGGTTACCTGGCTACAGGATCCAGGCTGGTTTTATAGGCTGCGTGGGCAGTACAGCCCTCTGCTTTCTGATCCAACAGCTCGGAAGTATGTGCAGAACATGGCATGTGGCAGCCCCGTTAAGAATCAGAGTGCTATTATTACACATTTATTTTACTACCTTGTTAAATGAGAATATTTCATTGCTACTGACAAAACTCCAGAATGCCCCATCTGCATGCAAAACTTCTTGGGGTGAATGCCAGCATGGCCCAACCTCTCCTCTCTCCCACCTGTGGAACGGGTGTGGAGGAAAGGAGGCAGGGCAGGGATGGGCACTGTGAAGAAGGATAGTGCTGCTGTCCTGGCAGTGATAAAGGGATGTTATCCTCAGCTGGGCGTAGTGCTGTGCCACGAGTGCACCTGAGGAGTAGGCAGGGATGGAGCAGCTGTAGTTTTCTACGTGCATAAAGAGCTGGCAATCTACCATCTTCCTTGTTGTGGTGTAATGAAACACAAACTTCTCCCCTCTCCTATGTTTTCTGCCCCAGGGAGGGGAAATGTGATACTGCACATAAAAGCTGCCACACATTACAGTTTTCAAAGGAAAAAGCTTTATGTGCAAAGCCTTGGAGGCCAGTAGATCAGTATGCAGCATGGTGTGGCAAGCCATCCAGGACCTTCCCTTCAGCTGGGAAAGGCAGCTCTCAACTGATTACCATTTTTTTATGTGTAGTTTGGTCCAACAATAGATGATTTAATTACTTATCATTACAGCTTTTTCTGTTGGAGAACCACTGTTACATCTCCAACGTGAACTAACTCAGATCCATGGTATCTTCCTCTTCCCTCTTAACATCATTCTTCTTGTCTTCAGGGTCTCTATAACCATGTCCTCAAACCTGGCTGTCCTTGTGTTCTATTGGCTCTTCTCCTGAGAGCACAGTCCTTTGCCATTGCCAAACTAGCTGACTGGGACAATCTTTTCACTTCCATATGCCTGCTTACTGCTCACCTCCATTCGAATGGTGCACATAACCCAATCTGTTTCCAGCTTGTCACCTATAATCATGTGCAATCAGTCTGTGAAATTGTAGGTGGTTTATCTGCTCACAGTTTTTGCATGGTTAATGAGCCATTACATACATAGTACCTGTATTATAGTTAGCACCATATTTCACTGCTCATGTTCATGGTGCCCAGAATTTTCTAAATGCTTTTCAGATACAGGATTAAGTTCTGTTCCAAAGAACATACAGTTGAAATACCATAAAAAAAAACAAAAGAATGTGATAGTATTGCACCTATATCACCTCCCACCATACACTGTTTTCTTCTCCAGTATTAGGCCATCATCTTTGTCTCAAGACTTCCCCAAATAATGTTTACAGTCCTTCTACTGGTATGCAACAGTTATCCCTTTGCTCACTATTTGGACTATCCATAAATCATCCATTCACTCTCTTGTATTTTACTTCAGACTGAACAATAACCTCCTTTTACACTTAAATTTCCTTTCTAATCTTCTGTCTACCTTACAAACTTCAGTGGTTTCTGTCATCATGAATAGCTCACAATCTTTAATTCATTCATGGTTACATCTCCCTGGGAAGTGGAGCAATGTTGTTACTCTCTGTTTCACAGCAAGAAGGTTAGCAGATGGAACAACTTGCCAAGGCCACATAAGAAATAAGCAGCAAAGCTGAGAACTTAATCTCTCCTATGTCTTCAGCTAATATCACAACCAATGAGCATGCAAAAGTTTGACTACTGCTTCCCTACAAATGAAACACTTAATTTTTCATACACTTCCTTATTTTTTTTAATGGAAAAGTTATTTTTTATCTTGAAATAAATTTATTTCTGAAATGAACTGACACAAAATTGTCATTATTTTGTTTTTTATTTTTGCCATTGTATCTTTGAGGGAATATATAGGAAATAAAACTTATTTT